TTTAAGAATAATACCACAACATGAAAAAAATAAAAAAGAAATAGGAGTTTCTGTTTGCAATTAAACAAATGTCAAAGTAAATATAAAACTTTTTTTTTTTTTACCTTTTCTATTTATCATGTATTTGATTTGAAGTTGAAAGTAAAGATAGCTTCAGGCACACGTTGTGAAACCCAGTTAATCTCTGGTAACTGTTTGCTTTAAAAGGCCGATAAGATAAAGTTCCCAAGTCAGATACTAAAATGTTACAGTGCACAAAATAAATCAAAGCGTTGCTTCGATTTCCTTTTAATCTGCATTCCAAGGAAATCGTTAAAAAAACAGGAAGGTAAGTTTTACTGGCAATAAGAAAAATWATTTATTTTGCAGGCATTCGATTGCCAAGATTTTAGTCATTTTTTAGGAATGCAGATTAAATCCTTTTTGTGCCATAGAGAGAGAGAAAAAAAACATTATCCCAATTAGCAAKGTGTTTATAAATCTGACTAAGAGACACATATTTTATTTTTGGACAGTTCCATGACTTTCACAGTCCACATTTTATTTCTGTAAAATTTACATCTGTGCTATGTTAAACAGTGACTCTCCCTCTGAGTGCATGAAGGCAGCTTTTTACCGGTCGTGTCATATCCAACAACCAGAACGGCATGGTTGGACCACTGTCTGGAGCAGTGGTGCTGGATTATGCCTCCAAGGTAATCCTGCCAGCTGACAGCATCCACGGTTACAACCAGCGGACCGGACTGCACCAGCTGACCCATCATCGCCTCCTCTTGACCACTGAGGAATAGAAACACATTCTCGTGAGGTTTGCTGGCTTTGTCTTGTGGATAAGCGGATTTTAAAGTTCGCTACAGGAATAAGTTTGGGAGTTGAGTAAAGTGTGAGRAAAGATTTGATGAAAATATTCGATAAATGAACATTTCTTTCACCATCCTCCCTGCGTTAGAATCCATCCAGGATTCATCTTTTTTCCCCCTCATTAGTACATCTGCTTTTGAACAAGTTTTTCATATATACTTGTTTCTTCTTACTATGTTGAACATATGCCGGCCCCCCTCTGCTACCCCTTCCTGTCATCCCGCCGGATGATTCCCACTGGGGGTATCTGTGATGCCCTCCGCTRCCAGGCTCATTACATGATATACGGAGCCCCTTTCTATGTGGCGAACCGCACTGAAAAGCCACTCTGACTTTATGATCATGTTTGTCTTTTTTGCCGTGCAGCAGTAAAGACCTGACCCCCCGATGAGGCTCCTCCTCGCAGAGACGTCCAATTCGGGAAGACAGGGGCAGGTCAAAAGGACCRTTTTCATGCTGGATCAGAGGATTGTTGAAAAGGGTAGACCGGCAATCCAAGTGGTAGCATGACACTGACATTTACTCAGTCTGAAAATCATCTTTACTTTGCTTTACTTTTAATTTGATTTTAACAAGGCAAAGTGCATTTATATGGAGCAGAGAAAATTCAAAAATTTTCATGTGGAAGAGAAAAGAAATGAAACTTAATTTAAACAGAAAAAAAAGAAAAAAGAAACGGTTGAATAAATGAAGTACAAATTGCTGCAATCCTAGAAACAACAAAACATAAAAAACTAATTATATTTGAAGTACAACTACAAAAAAAAGACCCATTGTGGAAACCGGTGCTGAATTTATTTTCAATATTTTTCATTCTAAACAGCAGTCTCAACTTGAAGCCTAATTTAGGTAATGAAGGGCCTTCCTTCACAAAGATCAGAAACAATAAAATTAAAAGGGTAATAAAAATTCCTAATAACTAATTAAAGGCTCGACTGAGCCGCTTCCTGCTGCAGGTTTCTTCCCGATAAAAAGGAAGTTGTTCCTTTCTGCTGTTTCCATGTGCTGCTCAGGGTGGAGGAGTGCAATGAAGTGACATTTCAACACAATCTTTTGGCTCCTTTAAAAAGATAACTTTTACTAAATGGCATTTCATAACATACTGCATGTGAATGTACTATTTTATTAATCTAAATTTCAGCTTGCTTTTTTTCCCTTTTGTCTTGTGTCCTGGGATGACTTGATTAAATGAATTAGATTTATATAAATAAAATCAACTGAATTAATGTAATTCAGTTCTATTGTATTTGAAATGATGACATCARTTTGCACACAATCTCTCAATTTTGCTGCGTGTTACATAATTTGAAAATAACATTTTACATTTTTTCTTTTCCGATAAATAATATACGGTTCTTCTTAAAAATGTTTTATGTGTAATGTTTTGTCTTCTTGCTTTTCTGAAGCCTCTTGTCCTTGACAGGAGCACACGTCTTTGCAGATTCTCGCAACAACTTTCAGACAGACCGTCTTGCCGCTCCCTCCRTAACTACACTTCAGTTGCTAAAGCTGAGGCAGAGCTGGTATGCACAACTCATCTGCACACGTATCCTGCTCCTTCCTGTTTGTTGACCAACAGTATAGGAGATGACACGAGAGGCTCCGCCCACCTTATTTGCATAACGAGGCAGAAATGCATAAGATAAAGTAAAAACAGGAGAGAAAAAAATGTAATGGGGAAATAAAAAACTATAAAAAAATACATAAATACAAATTATGAGACACAAATGAATCTAAAAGTAAAAGATAAAACAAAATATATATTTTCAAAAACAGTAAGATTCGAACTATAAGCTAAAATATGTGACCAATCATATCGAAATGAGGATTAAGTCAAATTTGGTCAAAATGACCTAATTACATTTCATGTTCCTGGCTTTAAAAGCTACATTTTGGTTCCTGGATCATTCTGATATCACAAAAAGAACCAGAGATATGCCTTAATTTGTCTTGTTGGTTACAATAATACAGTAATATTTGGTCTTATTCCTAATTGTATGTAATTTTTATGAGGAATTTTTCATTTCATTATGAATAGGAAATCTCAAATAGTATTTGAATATTGACATTTCCCAGTTGGACAGAAACAAAAACATTGCTAGCTCACGGGGAAAATCCTCAAATTTTAAAAGGCGTTTTTCCTCGAAATCTGTATTTTTGTTGCTACTGCTCAAATAAGTGCTTTAAAACTTTTTTATGATTCTATTTCAGACAGTTCGTTCAAATGAAACAGTGAGGCATTTATTGGTTATATTTTGACAAAATGCAATTTTTGTAAGTGTTTTAATCAAAACACTATATTTACCTATATCTCCACATACCACTTTTAGACTTAATCCTTGTTTTGATGTGATGGGTCACATATAATTTGTTGGAACTAAAAACTAAATATGATGGTCAAATAAATAATATAACATGAGGTAAAGTTCTCCTATTTAAATTTAATTGGTGCATTTTAAGTGYATTTACTTATTTATTGGTCCATTTATATATCTCTGCATTTTTGTATTACGTCAGTTTCAGTCCTTGATACATTTGGGGTGGGGTGGGGTCATTTAATATTTCACTCTAAAATTATTGTCCCTCAACTCTTTTACAATATCACTTAAGCAATGGTTATTTATTCAAGTATAATACTAGAAATTTAACCTTAAAAATCACCCATAAAGTGGGGGGATAGTATTACACACGGGTTATTGATAATTAGATTTTTATGCTTTTTAAGATAAAAAAAAAAGATCATCGTATTATAC